AGAAAGTGTGGGGGGGGGGACATGGCGTCAGTTTCCCGCCTCTCCTCTCTCGGTCGTAGGCTGGTCATGTCCGCGCGAGCAGCGCGCCGCAAAAACAACTCACCGTCCTCGCTGCCACTGGCGGCCAGTTCACCATCCGGACTGTAGCTGACGGCGTGCGCGGGTCCATGGTGGCCCTTGTGTGTCTCGCGCTCGGCGCCGCTCTCATAGTCGTATATCCGCACCCAGCCGTCGGCCGTGGCGCCGGTGATGAAGCGGTCCGCCTGCGTGGGGTGCAGCGAGGCCGACGAGGGAGCTTGCGCCAACGTGTGCTGCTTGCGCACTGTTCGTCTGCACATACACACACACACACGCATTAGAGGGCAAGCGAAATGGAGGGAAGGGAGATGTTAGTAGCAGCAAGGGAGGGAGGGAAGAGAGAGGGGGGGGGGCAAACACGCACGATGCGGCATCGATGAAAAAGACACTCTTGCCCGACGTGACGGTGAGCAGCTCGCCGGCGACGCCGAGGGCGCGCTCGAGCGACGTGATGGGCTCGGCAAACGTCATTTCGTGCGACTTTGTCATGGAGCGCAGATCCCACCACCTAGTAGAGTAGTTGCAGATGAGCACGCGCGGTGTGAGCAAAAAAGTCAGTCCTCCCCCCCCCCCCCCTTCCCCATGCGCAGGGAGGGGGTCTCTCCTCGCCTGTTAAGCCGGGGGGGGGGGGGCAGAGACCTAACTCACTTGACTGTCCGGTCCTCTGCGGCGCTCACCACCTCCTCCTCCGCCCTCCTCTCCCAAATCACACTCTTGACGTTGCCGGCATGCACCGTCTCGGCTCCTCCGCTCGTCTCGCGCAGCAGGCTGGGCTCCGCCTCGGGGCGCTCGAGGTCGAAGAGGCGCAGCTTCTTCTCGTGGCCGCCCGTGAGGATGCGCGAGCCGGCAGAGTTGATGGCGACGGAACGCACAATGTGCTGGTGCGCAAACGTGTGCAGACACACGCCGGAAAAGGTGTCCCAGACCTTGCTGTGTGTGTTTCAGAGCGCGCCGCGGGGG